TATATATATACACACACACACACACACACACACACACACACACCTACTATATAGCCTAGACTGTCAGAATATCAAGTGGCATGAATTTCAGTGATGATTTCAACCATGTTAACATTTGTAATTAAATGCAAAAGAGTGACAGGAGCATGCTTCTGAGCATTTAAAAGTCAATAAACAGCTATAACAGCTGCATATGATGGAAGATTTGAATTGTGACCCTTTTAAACTAATGATATCTAACGTCGAGGTGTTGTATGGATTTGTCGGAACAATGAGACAGGCAGCACACTTGTATTCTGTTGAAACATGCGATCTGATCTTAACATCCCTGGCTGCATTGTACAGTGGCACCATGGTGTTTTTGGTGTGCCAAGCAGCAAACTGCTACTTGAGAAGAGTAGCAAAAGAGCAAAATGAGAAGATGACGACAAATTAAAGCAGGCTGGTGCTACCTTCTATTGTAATGCACACTGGCTGACAAAAATTAACTAAAACTAAAAGAGAAAGGCTTGACTAGAGGAGTCTCAGTCGACTGACAGGTCTCTCGACTAATGACAACTATTCAACTGAAAGGTGATCAGAGGTGAAGGTTTGCGTTTAGAGCTTGTTGTGCTGCCACCAAGTGACTCAGTTCATGTCACATCTATGTCATCAGATCACACAGTCCTCTCAAACAGCACCTACCCATGTCCAGAGGGTGCAATGAAGTATAGGCAGCAGTGGACTCTGTTGTCCGGCATGGATCTGCGGTTCACCCTCGACTCTGCATTCAAGAAGTCCTCACACTTACTGTCAATGTAGTTTATAACTGGCTGCCAACTGGGAAGGTGGAAGTGCACAAACACATTAGAACATTTGCCAAAATCTAACTCCATACTTTTCAGGCAAAAGGACAAGAGCGGTCCTCACCAGTTGCTGTTGTCCACTGCATCTCCAAACCCTGGGGTGTCGACAATGGTGAGTGTCAGCTGGACCCCGCCTTCCTTGATCAGGACTTTAGACTGCTCCACCTAAAACATACCAACATTCACGGTTTAAAACACTACTGCTAAAATCCTTGTCTGTTACTGGAATTCATTTCATTCATGTGGAGGACCAACATGGTGCCCACCGAGGCGAACGTGTTTGCGCATTCCACTCTTGAATGCCTGCTTTTTCTTCATTTTTGTGCGTTTTTTGCTTTTTCTGTAGTGCACAAATGTCATGCACTGCTTACATACAACAGACAGGCATTGCTGGATATCACCAACTCACAAAGCCACTGGGAATTTACTGGTTTCATACCACCGGAGCTACAACACATTGTTCGCTG